CACAAGAAGGGAACATAATTTCTTCTGAACTGCTAGTAAAATGAAATCTACACATATATTTTAACTCTAATTTCAATTTTAGTTATCTATTTTAGAGGAATAAATATGTATGAGTATGATTCCAATACCACTGACTTAAAGGGGATCCAGTTTGTAGCATATAATCAAATGGGATGGTTTGAGACTCAAGAAGCTCATGTAGGATTGAAAAGTGATGCTGACAGTTAAAACCACCACAACTAACAGAGAGAAAAAAGTAACAAGAACTGAAGATAATATGGGTGCATAAGCAAATGTGGTGAAGAAGGCTGATGGTGCCTGGCTATTAAAAGATATAGTGCCTGGGGCCTTAAAGCCTTGAAGCTAAACAAGAGGCCATCTGGCAGGGAAGCAACAAAGTCCATATGGAAGAAGCACACCAGCCTGTGTGATCATGCGATGTCGAAGGAATTAGGTATCAGAGTGGAGACAAATTGGAGACTCCCTCACAGAAGGGTCACACAATAGAGACCAGTTCATCTAGGGTACAATATAGCACCAAGGAAACACAACATTCCTCTAGTTCTTTAATGCTTCCTGCCCGCACCATCATGGCCCCAGTTCTACCTCACAAATCCTGCTAGACTGGCATATGTACAGATATGCCAGTCTAGTATAGGTAAGAGCTTTCTATCCAGGATAGACAAACCTGTCAGAAACAGTAATGGGAGCGAGCAATGATTCCATGAGGGCATGGAAAAGGGAAGTGGGGAAATTGAAAGCAATGATGGATGCATAACCCCCCTTGAGGGGAATGAATAACAAAACTGTGAGTGAAGGGATACACTGGACAATGTAAGATATGGGGGATATATATATATATAAATATAAAACTTATTAAAGGGTTTGTGACAGTGGTAGGGTAGGAGAGGGAGGAAATAAAAAGGAGCTGATATCTAAGGGCTCAAGCAGAAAGAGGTTTTGAAAACGGCAGTAGCTGTACAAGTTTGCTTTATAGAACTGATTTATGAATTCTTATATTTGTAAGAGCCCCCAATAAAATGATCAATAATTTTAAGAAGCACAGTTTTAGAGAGAGAAAAAAAAAGCTGTCCACAGCACTGTCAATTCATGCAAGACATTAAAAAAAAAAGCTCTCTCTGATACTAGTATTTTAGGATCTTTCATTTAAGTCTAATTCTTAATCACCTTGAATAAAAGTCTAGCAGTTTTAAAGGCTCGCTTTCATAAACAGAACTAACCAGCTTTTAGTGCCAAAATATTTCACAAAAAGCGATAACCAATAATACATTGCTGAGTAGGAAAAATTATAGAATGTATTCAACAAAACTGGAAGACTAACTAAACGCTAAGACCAGACTGGCAACCCACATTGGGGTTGTCTTGAGTTAGAATCAATTCAGTGGCATTTTAGTAAACCAGTTGAGACCAGATGACTACCTGAAGTGACTGCCCTGAATACTCTGTAAACGTTAAACTGAAACTATCCTGGGAACACCTTTTAGAATTTTGAGTAACTCACAAAAAAGTACAGTGCTCTACCTAAAAGAAAAGGAGGAAAAAAAAAATATATATATATATATATACACACACACACTCACACACACAAGACCAAAAAGTTAGCAATTACTTTAAAGCAAAGATAAGAAGATAAAGGGAAAAGACCACTGGAGTACTAGAATTGAACCAGAACAAACCAAAAAATGCTGACATATTATTTAAAAATTTCATTATCAATGAACAAATTGTATAAAGTATCAAATGAGAACTTAAATGTAAATTTTTACCCCAAAATCCACAATTTAGTTGTTTTTTTTTTTCAAAAGAAAAGGTCCAGGTTATCGGAGATAGAAGACTAGAAAGTAGGAAACTATAAAGGAGGAGTTTAGTTTGAGTCATAATGAGGCTGTAGACATCTACAGTAGCTAGCAAATGTATAGGTCTAGAACTCAGGAGAACAACATAGAGGTCATGATTTAGCAAATCAGCATAAGATGGCAAATTAAGCCATGGGGGAGAGGGAGAGATTTTTAAGGACCCCTTAAGTAAGGTATGATCCCTTTCAATAGGCTGGAGTGATTTTTTTTAAGGTTCTTACCAAAATGATAGGGGGTTTAAATAAGTAGTGGTTATGTGCTGGGCTATTAATTGCAAGAGAAGCAGTTCAAAACCACTAGCTGCTCAAGGGGAAAAAGATGAGGCTTTCTATCCTCATAAAGTGTTAAAATCCTTGAAACCCCTTGAAAGGTGTAGGTCTCCTTTGTACTGTAGGGTCGTTATGAGGCAGTGACTGGAAAGCATTGAGTTTGAGTTTTCTGTTGTTACTATTAGGTGTCATCAAGTCAGTCTCCACCCATAGCAACCCTGTTTCCCTGAAAATAAGACAATGTCTTCTATTAATTTTTGCTCCCAAAGATGCGCTAGGTCTTATTTTCATGGCATGTCTTATTTTTCCATGAAGAATACGGTACACATTTATTGTTTATTGTTTTATTAAAAGAGACCTCATACTTCCTGTCTGCTCCTGCTGCGCTGCGGCCAACATTGAGCTGCGTGGCCACTACGGTCCAGAGTCCAGATAGCTTTGGGGGGCCTTATTTTGGGGGGATGCCTTATATTTCAGTGAGAGGCAAAACTGTAAGTAGGTTTTATTTTCTGGGGATGTCTTACTTGCGGGGAACCAGGGTATGTCTTGTGCATGCTCACAATTGTTCCTATGCTTGAACTCATTGTTGCAGCCACTCTGTCCATCTTGTCGAGGGCCTTCTCCTTTTTTTGCTGCCCCTCTATTAAATATGATGTCTATCTCAAGGAATTAGTCCCTACTGACAACATGTCCAAAGTAGATAAGACAAAGTCTTGCCATCCTCACCTCTAAGGTAAGGTGACCAAACGTCCCGATTTTTAACAATTTTTCCCACGTCCCGCAGCGTTTTAAAAAAGACCCGATTTTTTGAAAGAATGCACAACAAACTAGGGTATACGGTTTTTGGCTGCCATGTGGCTATTTCACCAGGATATGAGTTTTATCAATGGTGTCCCACTTTATCAATGTTAAAATGTGGTCACTTTACTCTAAGGAGCCCTCTGGCCTTACTTCTTCCAAAACAGATTTGCTTAATGATTCTTCTTTGGTCCGTCCTTTTAATGTCCAAAGTAACATCCTTGCTTTTCAACTCTTTAAAGAGGTCTTGGGTAACAGCTTTATCCAATGTAATGCATCCTTTGAGCTCTTGGCTGCTGCTTTCATGAGCATTGATTATGGATCCAAGTAAAATCCTTGACAACTTTAATCTTTTTGCCATTATCACGATGCTATCTAATGGTCCAGTTGTGAGAAGTTTGTTCTTCTTTACATTGAATTGCAGTACATACTGAAGGCTACAATCTTTGATCTTCATCAACAAGTGCTTCAAGTCCTATTCACTTCACTTTCAGGTTGTGTCATATGCATATCATAGGTTGTTAATAAGCCTGACCCCAATCCTCATGCCACATTCTTCTTCATATAATCCAAATTCTCTGATTATTTGGTAAACATACAGATTGACTAAGTATGGTCAAAGGATACAACACTGATGTACACCTTTCTTGATTTTAAACCACTCATGCCTTTGCTCTGTTTACACAAGTGCCTCTTACTACATATAAAAGTTCAGCATGAGCACAATGAAGTGTTCTGGAATTCCCTTCTTCTAAAGGGTATCCATAGGCTTGTTATAATCCACACAGTTGAATGCCTTGGCATAGCTAATAGATGAGTTTTCTAGGGATCTAAAAATTAGTAATAAGGTAATAGCAATGAGAAATAAAATTGAACTGAAGTGAAGTATTTTTCAAAACCAACAATCCTTGTAGACCAGTCACACAGCATGAGTAGGTATAGAGGAAAAAGATAAAACATGGTTTGAAAAACTCGAACTTTGATGACTATGAAAATAGTGTTACCATAAACAGAGTTAGATCAGTCAGGTAAAGGGATTAGGATGTGCAAGAAGGAAATGATCAGTTGGCTTTCAACATGTTAATTCTGTACATTCTCAAGTGCATAGACAGGTAAATAAATGTATTTAAGACATACAGAGTCAACTCTTTAAGGCACGTAATGAAAAAAAACACACACATATATATATATATATATCACCAGTCACAATTTTTAGAACTCTAATTCCTGTTGTAAAAAAAAAAAAAAATCACAACCTGTAATTTACACACCAGAGTTTTTTCTAAGAGTACAAACATATAATCTAAGAAACCTGGGATTACAAAGGTATACTATACTTTTTACCTATAGCTCTCTATAAGAGGGAACATGCAAATTCTGCATTTGATCCTTGCTGAGTTCCTTGAAAGAGATTAGCTTTTGGCCTCAATTTCTAATGCTATAGGAAATGGATCTACAAGTATTTTATATGAATAATTTTCACAATATACTAATGGTAAGCATTTGATGCATTTGTTGCACAGATACAGCAAAGCTACGTAATATAAGATTATAAAACTTTATTCAAATAAATTCCCTGGTAGTACATTGAGTTAAGAATTGGGTACGTGATTCAAACTCACCAGCAACTCCATGGGAGAAAGATGAGACTGTCTACTTTTGTAAAGATTTACCATCTCAGAAACCCTAAATAGTGGGTCCGATAGGATCACTAAGTTGGATTCCACTCAGTGGCAGGGGTTTGAGATAAACTCACTTTAACCACTAGAGGGCTACCTTGTCATTTGTTTTCTGCCCTTGGCCACTCTATAAATCAGTATGACTTAAAATTGCTAGGTTTATTCTGCAGGAACTTATCTCAATACTTACAATAAATAATTATCAACTCATTTTATTCACACGAAGGCTTTCTGGGTAGGAAAATGTGCTAGTATACGAGGAGAATGTCCTAGTATACTGCCTCGGCTGGACAACATTAAGTAAAACCTAGGATCTGAAATAAGACAAATCAAATTCTTAATTTCTCAGAAAAGTTTCAATATAATGACAGACTTACGTTTTAAGTGTTCCAGATGTCATAAGTTCAGTCACCAAAACAATGCACTTCTTTCCTTTTACTGTAGATTCCCATGAATCATAGAATCGAACAATATTGGGATGCTGGAGGCCTTTTAACATTTCAGCCTCTTCTCTAAATCTCTGCCTCTCAGACTTTGTTAACTTTCGATCCTAAAAGCAAAAGCCAAAATAGATTATGGTTTTAAATGTCAGAAAATGAGACATATAGTGAGATGCTAAACATTTAGTACATCACAATGATCATTCATGTTAAAACAGGAACTATAACTATTAATAATATAACAAGCTATTAATAATAGCTCATCAGTAAATCAGCCAAGGGTGAAAACAGACTATTCTGTGTTTAAGAGAATTTTGGTTTATAAAGTCACACTTGATAGTTTAGGACCTTTACTGTTGATGTGTGTCTGAGTTTCACTTTGTAATTAACTTTCCACTTCTAAATAATATACCTATTGCTAAAGATATGCAATTCAGTATCATGGATTGAGTATGGATTTAGAATTAAAACTAAACATAAATTTCAGCTTCCTGTAAGAATATGTATCATCACCTCATACAGTATGGTTCTAAGAAATAACTAATCTACTAAGTATGCTTTCATCACATGTTTAAAGTGCCAAATACTTCCTAAGTTAATGTGTTTTCTTATCCAAAATGAAGTAATGCTTTTAATTTGTTACTCCTTCCCTGACAGCATCTCATACACCCAAACTCTGAATTGTTCTATAAATTAAAATCAAAATGATCTCTAACTGGTATAATCTGTCAAGGCATGTAATCCATATTTTAATGACATGTCCTAGGCATATAAGTAATATGCCCATCACAATAAATAATAAAACACTATACAGATGAAATCCCCTCTATATACCTAGACAGCGCACCACACCCCAACCCCTACCTTTGAACAGCCATTACCTGAATGGTTTTTCCATAATCACAGGTGTTATCAAACCCAGTTGAGTTTTTATATTTCACATGAAATGTTACAATTTCATAAATTGGTGTTCGAAAATGTGTTCCATTAAAAGCTCTTTATCCACTGTTATACAAGACATTAAAAGATAATCATTTCTTACTGTAATCTTGACTTATTCACTATCTGAATATATTACAATGTATGAGTATATAATCTCCTACTGATGCATCTTTAGTTGCCCTGCTCTTTTCCCCTCTAATATTGCAATGTTAACTCTCCTTGAACACAAGTGTAAAATGGGTCTTTAGGATATAGATTTATAATGTGGGGTTCACAAATCCCTTTCCACTAACCTCTGATTGAAATGTAATGTTCCTATTTTGAATGTACACACCTAGTAATAATTAGTAATACCAGTGACTTGTCATAAACAAACTTCAAATGATTTCATATGATATAGCAGTGGTTGCATATATCTCAAGATACCATTTACAGTAATCATTACTTTGAAAATTCGATAGCTAATAAGACCTTCCTTCCATTGACCTTAATTGTTACACATTAGTTTTTTAAAATAACACACACATGAATTTATGCCTATTTTGATGGAACATGTTTCTATGTATTTTGTTAAATTGACTTACTTTTTAAAAAAATTCTAGTATTCACTAAAATGCCAAATGAAGCAAAATAATGTTGAGGACACTAATAGTTCATAACGTGTTATTAATGAATACTCTCCCCTGTTCCACACCCAACAGTGTTGAAATCCTAACCCGCTTTTCTGTAAATGACCAAATTTATAAATAGAATTTTTGTTAATGAAGGTATGGAGTTCCTGGGTGGTGAAAATAGTTACGCGTGAGACCAAAACGTTTGTGGTTCTAACTCACTCAGAGGCACCTCAGAAAATAGGCCTATCGAGCTACCTCACAAAGGTCACATTTTAAAAATACTAGGGAACAATACTCTGTACAGATAGGTCCCCCTGAGATGGAATCAACTAGATAGATGCCAACAACAAATTGTACCAGAACAAGGTAGATCCTAAACTCATACTCATTTGTGAATTTAAAAAAGAGCAGAAGAGATACAGAGATTCACACAGGTGCCATGTGAAGATCCATTTATAAGCAAAGGAATCACAAGAACTGCAGAAAATGCTGAAAACTAGGGAAAAACAGCAGGAAGAACTGATACGGTCAAGACTCATGGTTTCTAGAACTGGGAAGATACACTTCTGTTCTAACATCACACACTTTTAATATTTGTCATGAGAGCACCACATAATAATGACATATGGTTGGAAGTAGAATTGCTGGATTGGAGGTTATTTTAAAAAAGCAAACTCACTGCAATAGTCAATTCCGACTCATAGTGACCCTACAGGACTGAGTAGAATTGCCCCTCTGTAGTTTTCTGAGACTGTAACTCTTTATTGGGAGCTTCATCTTTCTGCAGTAGAGGGAGCATCTTCAATTTTCATAGATTAAAAAAATTTAAAAGCTCTCATATTTTTGAATGAGCAGGAAAAATTCTTTTCATAGGTATTGAAACTTGCTTTTCAAAAAAACTATATCAATATACCGCTTCCTCACAAAAGGCATTGGGAGATCTACTTTTGCTTATTGTTTAGAATGCTAATATAGGATCAATGTAGTTTGTCTCTTCCTGCAATTTACAATATTGGATAATGAAATTTTCTTAAATGTGATTTGTCTGTGGAAAACCTGTATAACTTGAGTAGAAGATTTATCTCTGTTAGCCTCTAAGTTTGTTTCTGCCTGGAACTGCGGAGATATAATCCAAGCCATTTCTCCATACCTATTAGTTTAAATTTGAATCTAATACACATGTGAATACAAGTCCTTGTTTATGAATTCTCAGCTGACCTGGAGAAGCATTCTTTGTCTTTTCAGTGTCAGAAACATTAAACTTTAGTTTGTCCTCTCACTAGACATGTAGCACTTCAAGGAAACCGATTTTAATGGATGATCTCAGTTCCAATATCTGCTAGGGCTTGAGATTTTCATCTATCTTCATACAGATGGTAAAAAACAAGTGTCTTAGTTAGAAAGATTGGCAACGTTCCCAGAAAAGTCTTGTTGATTCATAATTTCTCCATTCTGGTTTGTAGTTTTTTTTCTTAAATTCCTAAACCTTGGGGATTATCCCTGCAAACTCAGTTATTCATTTTTAAAAGATGGTTGTTATTTTAATGAAAAGTATCATTACATGAATGGATAGGTAAAATATGTCATAAAGAGAAATGAAGTCCTGACACATGCTACAATATGATGAGGCTTGAAAACTACAGAGTGAAATATCAGTCACAAATGGACAAATTATACATGACCACACTTAGATAAGGCAGACAAACATACAGACTAAACACACACACACACAAACCCCACTAAACTCCATTGTTCATGTAAATAGTGTCCAGTTACTTAAACATTTATTCTGTATATACAAGTCAATAATTTATGTACTGCATTCTGAAAAGCAGTTCTATACATGTACCATTTCCTTTTCTCAACTATGTTTTAAATTCTATGCCACTGGCAAAATTAATGCCTCTATCAATAGAATCACCCTAGGCCCCATGGGAATGATTTATAATATCCTCTATCATAAATAATAACAATGTCTCTCAAATAAGCCAGGGACATCTATAAACAATAGATAAATGAATGGATTTGGAGTTTGCACTCTAACCACAATTAAGAACAATCACTGTATATACTCGTGTATAAGCTGAGTTTTTCAGCACATTTAAAATGCAGTTTTTGTGGTAAAATTATGTGCCTTGGTTGATATTCGGTTCAGCTTATACTCAAGTATATACGGTAGTTCTTATGACATGGCCCTACTTGATACTCACCCTCATGAAGAGATCACTGAAGATAAGGATGTTATAACAAAGTGTGAAGGGTGTAGGGCATGTCGAGATATTCCTACTAAAGTTAAGGATAAACTACTGCATTTGGTGCCCCGAATGACTAAAAAAGAGGCACAACGCCTAGTGGGCCTCTTCGGATTTTGGAGGCAACATATCCCTCACTTGGGTGTTCTACTTTGACCTATTTATCAAGTGACACGAAAAGCCTCCAATTTTGAGTGGGGCCCAGAACAAGAAAAGGCTCTGCAACAGGTTCAGGCTGTCGTGCAAGCTGCTTTGCCACTGGGACCATATGATCCAGCTGACCCAATGGTGCTAGAAGTGTCAGTGGTAGATAAAGATGCAGTGTGGAGACTTTGGCAGACCCCTATTGGTGAATCACAGCGTAGACCATTGGGATTTTGGAG